GCCTGGGCAGTGAGATTCCCCCCAACCCAACCTCCAGAAGTGACTCTAATACTAATACACAGTCCTTTGGAATCACTGGCCTACCTAGGTGGTTACAATTTCAAGATGATGGTATTGGACCTCGGGTGCCTTTGCTACATGCCTCACATCCCTCCTCTGTCCCCGTTTCCAGCCAGGCTCCCACCCAGTGGTGGGTTGCTAAGTAGTCCCCAGGCTGTCACAGCATCCCGAATTTCCTCTCTCCCTTTCTAATTCTGGACCAGGGTGTTGGAGCCTGAGCGGCAGGCAGGTGGTGCTAACCACGTGTAGGAGGCAATGGGTGAGTCATGCGGGGGAATTGGGAGAAGAGAGCAGCTGGTCCCCTCCTTCAGTTATAGGGGCGAGTTCAGGGATGTGTCAACCAAGTGAAAAATTTTTGTCAGAGTTTCTTAGAAGAGCAGAGGGATCTTTGCTCTTTCATTTCCTCTCCCCGGTCTCAGTGGCCGTGAAACTACCAGAAGGCTCTGAAGTCAGACAAGGAGGTTCAAGGGGCCAGTTCATTTTTTCACTGGGTAACACATGGTGATACAGTGAGAATCTGATCAAATGTGATTGTCCCCCCAGAAAAGTGCACATACATGCTCAATTTTGCATATGATTTCAGGGGGAGGGTGTCAGCCACCCCCTCCTGTCATCCCACAGAGTCTGTCCTGGGGTCCCTGACTTCCTGACTTTGAAGGGCCTTCCTTAATGAGATACAGGAAGGAGAAGGGTAGGACTAGGCAACTCTGCCCAGAGAGCCAGCTGCTGTCTTGCAGATGAGACCAATTCAAGCTGCCATTTACCTTTGTGTGGCAGGAACTTTTATTTTTACCTAGATGTAGTAAATCAGGGGTTCTCACACCTTAGGGAGCATCAGAATCTCCTGGAGGGCTTGTTAGTCCTCCTCAACTCAGAATTTCTGACTCAGTGGGTCTGAAATGGTGCCAAATAATTTGCATTTCTAACAAGTTCTCAGGTGACAATGAAGCTGCTGGTCTGGGGACCAAACTTTGAGAACCACTTATCCAGTTATTTCACTCCCGCTCATCTGCCCAGGCACAGACCCCATGACTGACTAGGAAGCTGGATTTGCGTCAGTTAATGGTTGACCACATCATTGCCAGGAGGTACATTCTCCTGAAAGCAGCCATCAGTCCTTGGCTCCCCATGAACTCAGCTTTTTTGTTGTTTACATTTTCACATTATCATGACAATGAGCTATTTGGCATCATGATGTTGGAACCCAGACAGTGAAAAGTCCTGGGGAATGAGGATATCTCCAGCTTGCACAGAACATCAGACATGTAGTGTGCCTGAAGAAGAGAGCCTTTCATTGTTCTCAGCTCAGGTGGTTGAGTTCTCGTTCTTTACATTGAACACAGCTGTCCACATTTTAAGGAAAATGCGAGAGTGTTTAGAGGAGCAAACTGGGAGCCCATTTACCTTTGCACAAAAACTTCCCATAATTAAGGGAACCACGTGCTGACTGTGGGGACACTTCTGAGCTCACTGCCTCGTCAGGCAGAATCATGCAGCTGTTGCAGGCAGAGGTGCAAACTATAATAATTGCTGAGATGAATGCCCACGAGGCTCCCTCTGTTTGGATGAGGTTGAACTGGGCCCTGACGCACTGTGAGTTTAGGGCCAGATTTCATTCTGATGGTGAGTTGTGATACTCAAACTTCACTGCATACGTGACTCACCTGAGGATCTTGTTGAAATGCAGACTCTGATTGGGTAGGTTGGGACAGGACCCAAGAGTCTTCATTTCCAACAAGCTCCTAGGTGATGCTGATTCTGTGATGATGACATAGGTGACACCTGGGAACTTTTATCCACTGCAGATGTGTGTGGACATGGAGGTGGAATTTATTTTAAAGAGTCCTGGTATGGACCGGGGAACCTTTAGAAAGTAAAATCTTTAATCTTCAAAAGTAATGGATTTAGTGGGCCCAATATGTGACTGAAATGTCCACCTAGTCAGTGAACAACCTCCTCAAATAACTGGGTACAAGGTCTATGATAGTCCCCTTTCAGCCCCCCCCCAGGTCAAGGGATTCCTTTTAATGCAGATCATAATGGTTCATCATTCCTGTTAGGCTCTGAACCCTTGTAACACAGTGACTGGGTCTGTGTCCTCTGTTGTCCTGATGTGTGGCTCAGAGCTCAGTATTTGTTGCCTGAATGAATGAACATATCTGACTTCCCCTCTCTTGTGGGTAATGAACACACCAGCCCGTTCCTTGGAGTTCAGTGGCATGGTCCACGCTAACATGTCTTAAATATAAGCTGGGGGAGCCATGGGGGTGGGGAGGTTTGAACAGAGTGGAGACATAATTTGACTTCCATCTTATCAAAGTCTCTCTGGTTATTGTGTTGAGAATGAAGTGTAAGATAACAAGAGTGAAACAGGCATGACCGATGGGGGCTTGGGTTAGAATCAGCAGTGGAAATGATGAGAAATGGGTGCATTCTGGATATATTTGGCAGGTAGAGTCGGCAGGATTTACTGACAGATTGGGTGTGAGGTGTGAAAGAAAGAAATTAAGGATGACTCCAAGCCTTTTGGCCTGGGTAACGATCAGAAACTCAGATTTGGACATATTAACTCTTAACTCTGAGACACTGTACTTGAGACATCCAAGTGGAGATATCAAGTAGACAGTTGGGTACTTGTGTGGGGTTTGGGAGATTCAAGCTGAAGATACACTTTTGGAGTCACCAGCACATAAAAGGTAGTTCAGTCTCAAGACTGGATGAGATCACTAAGAGAGTGAATTTAGGTAGAGAAGAGGGCCAAGGTCTGAGCTCTGGGGCGCTCCAAATTTCACAGGTTAGATAGAAGAGGAGGAACCAGCCAAGGGGATTAGGGAGTGACCAGAGGAGGGAGGAAAACCAAGAGATGGGCATCCTAGAAGACAAAGGCAGAAAGTGTAAGGAAGAGGGAGTGATCAACTGTGTCAATACTGCAAGAAGATCAAATATGAGAAGGCTGAGAACCAACCACTGACTTTAGCATGATGGAAGCCATTGGTGACCTTGAGGAGAAGGGTGGTGGTGATAGAATGATGGGTGAAAGCCTATTTGGAGCAATTTAAAGAGAAATGAGAGGAGTTCACGGCAGTGAGCACACACTGCTCTTTTAAGAAGCAAGTGGTATCTAGCAGAGGAAGGTCAAAGGAAGATTTTTGTTCTTTGTTTTAAGATGAGCAAGATCCAGTGGAGAGAGAACTGATCATGCAGAAGAGGAAGGCGCAGCTTGGTTAAGTACCCACCAGGTTCAACCAGTAGAGAAACAAAATCACATTGTACAAAAGACTGTAACCGTGTGGATGGGGGCAGAGGACAATTTCCATGAAAAGCAAATGTCAGACCATCCAGTAGGTGTCCTTTACAAAAAACACCATTTGTGGGCTCATTACCATGAGCTCCCATGCTTAGCTTTAGCCCTCTGTGTATTTAGAAGGTTCACACTATTTTCCCATTTACAGGCAAGGCAGCTGACTATTAAAGCAGGTAACTGGCTCAAAGGCACAGAAAGGTTAGTGGCAGAGCTCGAATCCAGGGCTGCTGAACATCAAGAGGCTGTGTTCTCTAAACACTGCGCTCACCTGTCTTCCTCCTCTGGCTCTGTGCAGGAAGGAGACACCCCACAGGTTTGCCTGTAAGAGGGGATGTTCTGGGCCACACACTGTCAACCTTCAATATTCTCAGCGAAAGTTCAGGAATATTTGAATAAAAGCAAATCAGACAGACAAGTGTTCCTCTTCTTTTCTTTATTAATGAGTTGAGATACACAGAGACTTAATAAAAAGTTACATAAAAGGCTCAAGCATCATCGAGATCTTCAGGCATCACTCTCGTTTCACGACAATGGCCACCTGTTGATACTGTGTAACAGAAGCTGGGCGCTCACAGGGGCGCCATAATTCAAGTATCTTTCCCTCTGAGTAAACCCGACATGGAATTTCTAATCCAGTGGGCTGCTAATGGAGGGAGCCTGTCCATGGCTCTGGATTGACTGTAACACATGAAGAGCGTTTGGGTTAGAGCTGCCACGTGTTAGGGGGTCACATTCCATGTCAAAGAGAGACAGGCCACACTAGGCTACCAGGCACTCTCCACAGCAAGCGCCCCAGGAAGGTGGGGGGCAAAGTGCTAAGAGAAACCACCCAAGTGTCTGTCCCCGTGTGGCCAAGTGCAGAGGAAGTTAGCGGCCATAGCTCCAGGCTGTGGGAGTGGAGAGGATGGCTGGGGAGAAAAAGAGCCTACAAGAAGTGGGGGTAGAATTTTAGAAGAAATCTGAGAGAGCACAGTGGCAAAGGCATGGAGGGGAGTTCAGGAAGGATGTTCTCCAAGGGATGTGAAGGTAGCACTCTTCAGATGGGCTGGAAAACCAGTGGGATACCAGGATGAATACCAGTGGGAATACTGAGCTCCTCAGTCATGGGGAACATGGCTGATTGGTTCCCCAGATCGATCCTGCCAGGTGCCCACTGAGAAAACATTGCGCTGGGGACGCCCCAGGGCACACTCCATTCCGCCCCTCTGGGAGCCGCCACTAACACACGGGCCCATGGTTCTCTAAAATACAAAGAACTGTCTTTTTAAAGTGTTATTTACCCATCTCACCTACGGGAGAGGTTTGCCAGCAGTGGACGCTGCCCTGCGTGCCGGGCTTCTAGTCCCACCACTCCCTCAATGCAGAGCATCTCCGTCCTTACTCCTTCCCGCCTGTCTTGCCTCTTCCTCAGCTCCAGCCATCATGCCCATGGGCTGCTGTGGATGTGGCTCGGAGGAGCACGGGGGTTGGAAAGAGCCTTGTCCTGTTAGTGTTTAAAATGCCCATTAACATTATAGGATCTTGGGAAGCTCTGAGGTGCCTGATCTGGAATGTTTCTTGTTATCCTTTCTTTTTGTTTTGTTTTTTAAGCTGAGCCATCCTGCCACCTGTTGGCAGCTCAGTGGCTGCTCAGCTCGGGCTGGGAATCGAACCGCTGTTGCTCAGAGCTCAAACTCTTGAGCGAGCTCTTAACCAACTGAGCCACTTGGCCGGTCCCTATCCTTTCTTTTAGGGTCAGAAAAAAGAGCCATTTAGACAAATAAAGAAGTTTGATTTCCAACTAACCAAAGTGCCAACTGTTTCACTCTGCAGCAGACTCACTCTCTGGCTGGGCCCCTCTGGGCTGGTGATCTTGCTGAGTTAGGAACTCAGCACACTTTCAAAACTGGAGAAAGATCCAGGTGTCCTGACGCCCAGTTGGGCACTCACTTTCCTCAGGTTCTTTCTCCAAACAGTGGCCAGGCCGCCTGCTAGACATGCTCTAGTTTGCCTAGTGACCTGATTTGTAACCTACGGTAAATAAGGTCATTATTCATGCCATTTCACCTTCTGACCTTTTCTCAGAGGTGCACTGATGTTCCTGCTGCTCCCTACCCCCACCCTGGCCCCCCAAATCCAGTCTTTGGCTCACACCAGCAGCACCTGGGAGGGAGGTGGGCATTGTCAGGGAGTTGGGGGACTGTCCCCTGGTAGAAACAGGTGTTTGAGAACCATGGCATCACCCCTACCTTCATTTCTCCTCCAATCATCTGGTATAGTTAACATCTGAGAGGTTAATAAAGTGTGTGCCAGAAAGGCCACCTAATGCTCAGCTTGCAAATGCTTAAAGGGGTTTGTTCATTTGCTGGGCTTAAGAAGTGGTCATCAGTGGACTCAGGGGAGATGGCTTCAGGTCTTGGTGCTGTTTTCGTAATAACGGTATTGGATCACTTTTGGTTAAGACTCAGCACGAGCTAGAATGTCCTGATGGCATTCACATCAGCTTACTCTGATGTGGAGAAACATACATGCCCGTGCCAGTGTGTCTGTATGACAGAGGCAGCCCAGGCGATGCGTGGCATTCCTCTCACCCGGCCGGGAAGGACAGACCTTAACCCACACTGTCTGAAAAAGAAATGAACACTTCGGCAAAGCCAATCCACTTACTTTAGTGTATCCATTTCCAGGATAATGAAAACCCCTTTTAGAACTGACACGCTCATGCCAGCCTCTTCCCTCAGTAAAATAAAATTGTTTCCTAATATCTGTAATAAAACCGTCCAGGTAAACACATGTCTCTCCTCTCCTGGTTATAGGCCGTGAGCAGGGTCTCTCCTGAGGCCTCTGGCTACAGTCCTCATTAACTTCCCGTCTCTCAGTCACTCTACTTTCATCTTGAGTTGAGTTTTGGCACTGCTGGGAAAACTCAGTGAAGAAAACAACAATATCCAGACATCTTATCAGAGAGATCTGCTGAAGATTTGAAACTTCACCAGGCAGTGGGCACAGATCCTTAGGATACACTAATAATCACTAAAATAATTTAAAAATCTACAAAAGACACCCAAGCTCAGACACCATGGACTGGAGACAAGGGGGGCGCTTGATCATGGCTTGTTTTGTACTCCGAATGTGGGTAAACACGTCCACATCAAACCAACACTGTGTCGTTCAAAGGAACACCACAGCCACCAAGAGAGCGGGAGGGGCCGGCCTGAATCAACACGAGGGTCTTGGAGGCTGCTCGTGCGCGTCGCTTCCTGGTGTCTCAGGAGACATGGGGAAGCCCGGGCCCTTTCTGCAAAGCCAGACCCTATCTCCTCCCTGCCCACCTTCCCTTTCTCCCTTCCTGTGCCAAGTCCTCGGGTCAAGGGTCGTAGTTAGAAATGGTTTTCAGTGAGGTTAGGCAGTGGAGGGGTCCTGAGGGCTGGCCAGTTCATGGTCACTGTGCCCAGAGCCTCAGGCCCGTCACAATATCACACACTGCAGTTTGTGGGTGCCAGTGGCCCGGTCTCCCCGCCATTTGGTTTTCTTCTTCTTCTTCTGGCTTTTTTCCGGAATCTGTTGCCTTTTGAAACAATGAAAGGCAGAAAAACAAAGTGAGAATGGGCTTTGCTTCTCCCTGCCTCTGGCCTCCCTTGCCCCTGTGTCTCAGGCAGGGAGGCTTGGGGGCCAGCGATCCTGCTGTCCTAGATGCCGGAGCAGGGCCTGCCCTGGACAGCCTCAGTGAGGCAAGTGGGGAGGGAGACAGGGCGGGGCGCCACCTGTCAGCCCACTGATGAGAATTCCTGCTGTCATGCTGTAACTACCTTTATTTAAATCATAAGCTATGTTATGTGTTGTATAGTGTTGGCTTCTAATCCCATGTTTTGTATTTTAAATAAAATGACAGGTCAACTGAGTACAAAAGCTTTTTACATGTTTCCTGCTAATTTTTCCTATGTTGAAAACCTGCCCTTGGAGCTACAGGTCTGTAATTAAGACCTTACCATCTCCTGGGGATAGCATATCCTAACTGGAGGCAAGCTGCCCACAAGGAAAGAGTTTCAAGAGTGCAGAACTGCCAGCTACAGCATAAGATGCAGGCTGCGCTGTCACAGTCCACGCTGGGGCATAATGAGGAAAGCAGGCTGTGGAGCATGCGTGTGCGTGTGCGTGTGTCTGTCTGTGCGTCCTGTGGGAGCAGCAAGGACACTATCAGAGCTGTGTATGTGATTTCATAACTAACCAGCAGCCCTAGAGCTCCGAGTGTAACGTGACATGCTAAATGCACAGTGTTTAAGGACCACGGATCAGGCTGCTCTGTATGTTGAAGATTTGGGAAATGGGAAAGGTGGGTGACAGGGAGACCGGCCAGGAGGCTATTTCAGTCATTTAAGCATGAGGTGATGAAGGTTTGAACCCTGACTAAGCAAAGGAATGTACAGAATACTGCTGATCGGGGCTTCGGACAATCCTTGGAGATGGACAGTGTGTGGGGTCTGGAGAGGAGGCACGTGCAATGCCTCTGAAATTTGAGCCTGGGAATCAGCATGTTGGTGGTTCAGGTGAAATGTCAAAGGACACTGACATCGGAGCATGGAAGAGGAGAGGACCTACATTCTACCGTGTTGACTGCTGCCTGGTTGGGAGAACACCAAGGGCAGGCTAGAGGGGGCTGCCTCAGGGAGGAAGCACTTCCCTTTACCCAGTGATCGGCTTCACTCACAGGTAGTAGGGCCAGCAAAGGTAGGTGGGAAGGGCAGGGGACAGAAATGAATGGAGGTATAAGAAATCCAAACACAGGCCCAGGAACATCCAGCGTTGGCCCCAGATGAAGGGGCCGTGTGCCTCCAGCCCTCCCATTGTCCATCGCCCATCGTGCTGACGAGGCCCCGTTTCGAGGGATGTGTGCAGTGCTCACCTGATTACTCTAACCAGGTCATGAAAGGCTTTGTCGACGTTGAGAGGTGGGTCCTTGGCACTGGTTTCTATGTATGGAATCTGGAAGGCAAAACTCACTTTTGGCAAAAGTGGCACTGAAATCCACAAAGGCTTGTTCCCTAAAAATGCAAATTCTCAGAGACCCTGAGGAACCGTATGCTTTTAAAGTCCCCACAGGGCCCTGGCTCCAATAGCCCGAAGTCCCCTTGGTGGCTTCTTACTCTTTAAAGTTGGAAAATTTTACTGACAGTTTTTCCAATTCCCCCTTGTTCTCTAGTCACAGAGATATTTAATAGCTCCCTAAAAATAGAATTAAAATGATCTTTTTATATACTTGAAGACTTTCATTTATCAAACTAAAATACATTCTGATTCTACTCATTTTTCTTTCTGAGGTCTATTTCTCTACCTTGGGGGGATTTCTGCCCCTCCTTCCAGGCCCTCCAGAGGGGACTCCGGTGGGAAAGGCTAAGGCGAGGCTGGGCCACGGGCAGGATCTGGCATCCTGGTGACCCCTGGCTAGTCTGTGCCCCCCACCCACAACAAGCCTGCCTGCCCAGATCCTGTTTGGTCTGTATCCACAAGCTCCACGCTCAGCTGTGCTTACAGAAGGCTTGTGTCTGCACGCTGAATGCCCGGTAATCATCATCACGCTGAAAGGCAGCAGCAGCACATGGGGAGATGCGGCAAAGGTGACCCCGCAGGGTGGGTGAGGGCCTTGTCCACACCAAGCCTGGACAGGGTGGAGAGCAAAGGCTCCTCAAGGTCAGGACATGGTCCTGTGTGCTCTTCTCCTATAACAGGGACCCTGCAGAGTCAGGAGCCCATGAGTGAAGAGTGTGGGGATTCACACACCTCCCTAGATGAGATGGAGGTAAGCCAAGTGTGACTGGACTGAAGAACTTTGGTATTTTTTACAACTTTGTCCTCATTCCAAAATTAAGCCATTTCATTACATCACATTTGAAAAAGAAAAGCACAGTGAATAGAAGAAAAACGATCAATACTTTAAATGCACTGGGGGGTGGGTAACAGTAAGTTGTTATTTTTGAGGAGTGTATTGTAAACCATTGCTCAGAACACATCATAAAGGATCTCCCCATCAATTACTATCACGAGAGATGGGATGTTCACGTGTTGCTGTGGCTTCGAGCAGGGGTCTTGTTGTAGCTGACCAAACACGAGGGGCAAAGCACAAAGGGCAGGGTTCAGGCCTTTGAAATACTCACTCAACGAATATTGGAGCCTCTGATAACACTGAAAGAAAGCTGCCCTCCACTGTCGACTATCAGATTATAGGCTGTTCATTGAGATGACCGTGGGCTGTTTGGCCTCTAAGGTCTTAACATCCCTGACCTCCCTTAAGACGTTAACCCTCTGAGATAAGCAGCTGGGGAAAATGAGCTTAAAGTGGTGACGTACTTGCCCAAGGCCACACAGTAGAGAATCAAGGTTAGACCAGGTGCATTGGCCTCCCCTGGGCAGGTGGCGGTGCTGAGGTCAGCTTTGAAGCCTCTTCCAGGTGAGGCAGGTGGCCCTGGTAGCACCTGGTGCCAGAGTCCTATGTGACCTCATGAGGTCAGGACGACATGCGTCCCTGTGCACGCCCAGACGGGAAGTGGGAAGGCACCTGCACCTGGGGCCGGGAACTACCTGGGGTCCTTTCATGTCCTATAATCCTGCCAGCTCAGTAAGTCCTAGGTTCCAGGGCCTCAGACCACTGCTGCCTGTCCCAATGCACTGCTCAGGAGTACATGAGTTGTAGTATTCCCCAGGCCCCCAGATATCCCCCACCTCCTTTATGGTGGTCCTGCCTCTTACCACTGAGGACACGCCAATGTGCATTTTCTGGGTTCTTAGAATTCTAGGATATCGGTAGCAATAAGACTTAAACTAAGGGAAACCCTGTGGTAAACAATGGTAGCATTTGACTCCACCAGAGGGCTAGGGAATGCCATCTTCCTGCCTTGGTCAGCTGAAGAGGAACTTGCCCTGTGAGCTCTAAAATTAGGAGGTTGTCGATAGTGGCTTGCAGAGTATTTGGTCAAATGATAAATGAGGTGGCAGTGTTGGCTATAGAAGCAGCATCGGCTAAGAGACTAGAGACCTGGGTTCCAGTGTGGGGTTGGGGGTGGGGCACTCCTTACCAGCTTGGGGCCCGTAGAAGCCACCCAACCTCCTGTGTTTCATTCACTTCTATTTGCAGAACTCGGCTAGGGCTGCCCCTTGCAGCACCCGTCCCCGCTCCCCACTCACACACCCAAGGCTGCTAGGAGGGACCGAGAAGGTATTTGTGAAAGCCCTTAGCAAACCCTCTTCAGGTACTACAGAGCCCAAGACTCTATATAGAGAGGCTCCCCGGGCCTCTCTGGTTAGGGTGTTGGACCAGTGGAGGCGGCCTGCATCTAATGCTAAACCCAGCGGGGGTTCCCAGGCCCCATCTGCTTCTGAGCAGCTTGGCTGATGATCCCTCCTCCTTGAGGGGTTTCCTTTTCCTGGCTCCATGACACCCTGCTCTGGTCCTCGTACATCACTGCTCAGTCCCTCCTTCTGCTCCCTCCTCATCTCCCCACATCACAGCACTGAAGAGTCCCCAGCCTCAATCCCGGGGCCCTCCCCTATCTACACCTACCCTGGTGGGTTTCATAGCTTTAAATCCTGTCTGTATGCCGCTGATCTCCACTATGTGCCTCCAGACTGCTGTCTTGACATCGCCACTGGATTATCTACTCGGCTCCTCAAGCTAAAAAGACCTAGAGCCAAGCTCCTGGCCTCCCCACACGCTTGCTCCCAGTCTTCCCCTGCCCAGCTACTGTGACCCCAGTCCTCTGAAAGTGGCCCATGTCCCAAACCTTGGAATCACCCTCAATTCCTTTTTCTCTCTCTCACCTCACATCCAGTCTGTGAACAAATCCTGTTGGCTCTTTTAGAAATATATCCAGAATCCAACCTTCTCGTTACCTTCATGAGCACCACGCTGGTCCACGTCCACCAGCACCTGGGTTATTGCAGCAGCGCCTGACTGGTCTCCCTGCTCCCACCCGTGTCCCTACAGCCCACTCTCAACACGGCTGCCAGATAAGCTGCTCAGCCCTAAGTCAAACCACATCGCTCCTCCAGTGGTTCCCCCTCTCACGCTGTGAGTGAACGTCCTTAAGTCCTCCCTGATCTCACTCCTGCTCCTACACCAGCCTCCTTGCTGTTCCTCAAACTGCCGCCTCAGGGCCTCTGCTGCAACATTCTTTCCCCTGGCATCGTCCCCTCACCTCCTGTAAGTCCTCATGGATAGGCACCCTTCCCAGCAAGGCCTTCCCTGACCACCCTACTTGGAAGAGCACCCCCTCCACCCTGCAATCCTGACCCCTTTCCTGATTTACTTTTTCTCCATAGCACATGCCACCTTCTGACACTCTAACTTGCTTTGTTTCCTGTCTGTCTCCTGTCACTAGAAGGAAGCACCATGAGGCAAGCAGTTGTTTCCCAGGGTTAAGGACCGTTGAGTGAGTATGTGAATGAACACAGCAGAGCTGCCTCGCAGCGAGCCCCCTTCCTCTACTCAAAGAGCTAGGCCACTGGGCGGAGGGTAAGAGCAACCCCACAGACTTCCAGGGGGGGCTTCTACATAACCAGCCAATGAGGCCAGGAGCATAGACTGTGCCAGTGTGGGGGGCGGGGGGGAGGTGAGGGGAGTGGGGGGAAGAAGCCCAGGGACCCCAGCCAGCACCAACCAGCTGGCAAAGGGGCATCCGGTGAACTAAAAACAAAACGAAGGTATGTGCTTAAAGTCACTGTGTGGCCTGGGGAAACCTGAGTTTGAGCCCTTGTAAGATGGAGGTAACTGTATCTACCTCAATGTGTGGCTGTGAGGAGTGCTCCCCCAGCACAATGCTGGGCACAGGGCAGGGCTCAGTGAGTGGCAGCCGATCCAATGTTTCTGAGCAGAATCAGGAGATTGGCTCCGAGAAGGGGACAGAAGCCAGTCCTCTGCAGCGCCCAGCGATGAATCCGCCAGGAGGGGGCCTCCACGCCACAGCCTGCAGTCAGTCCACTGTGCAGGCACCTTCTCCCCACATCAGAGATGTGACTGACTGATAAGAGGGTGCTTGCTCTCTGGTCTGTTGTCTTGTTTCACAAAACATCCTACATGCGGGTGCCAGCTACCTAGGAGGCCTGAGTTCCGTTCCTATAGACCAAGGCTGCAGGAGTGATGGGGTACTGGCTTTTATACACCCCCTGGCACCCGCAACGGACAGACACACAGGCACAGACACACACACACGACCTACATTATGTTTGGTCGCCATTTCTTTTCCTTGCTCCCTGGTGATTTTCCTCAGATGCATCAAATCGACCTTGTTGGCCACGAGGATCATCGGGAAGGACTCCCTGGAAATAAAGGAAGAGCAGCTCATGAGGTTTCGCTGTCCTCACCCCTGGTGAAGGCGGTACAGCCACACCTCAGGCATAACACAGCGCACAGCGCCTCCGCAGCGGCCTGGAGCTGACGTAAGAGTCCTTCCTCCACATTTCTAGGAGTGGGAAGGGGCCTGGAGACTGGAGACCGGCTCAGCACTGTCAGTGCTGCTGAGCCAGGGGCTGGGGTTCTAGACCTGCTTCCTCCCATCTCTCGGTCACCCTGATGCGCCAACCATGCAGGGCTGCTGTGGCCCTCAGCAATGACTCGTGAAGAGTGCCAGGGCCAGGGTCTGGCACACAGTTGGCACCGAATAAATGGCAGCTGCCAAATCAGGATGGCGCCCAGGACAGGAAGGGCGGGTTGAAGAGGCCTGTCTACCTTAAAGGTTTCCATTGACATATATGGTCATACTGCTGTCCCAAAGTGAATGAAATGCTAGTCTCACAGCATCTTTGTCAGCATTGGCTGTTTTCATTATGAAAATTATAATTAGACAATTGAAAAATGGTACTTTATTATTTCTCCTTGTACTGCTTTCGTAAGCAAGAGGGTTGAATGTTTTCCCACATCTGAGTCATTTATGTTTTCTCTTTTGAGATTCCCATAGTTGGGGGGAAAAGTCAGTCAGAGCCTCACACTGAGATGTCTGAGACCCCACATTTCTGTGTGTGCATGTGTGCGTGTGTGTGCATGTGTGTGCGTGCACGTGTGTGCACATGTGCGCGTGTGTGCATGTATCCCTTTAAATTGTAAAGTTATTAACACTTTGTCTTTGGAATAGGTGTTAACTGGATTTTTCGAATTTATTGAGATTTGCTCAAAGCTTGCTGTTTTCCTATTAGTTTGTCCTTTTACTTTCTTTATAGTGCCTCTTTAAGATCCAATTAACTGAAAAGAACAGTTAGGCTTAAAACAGACTCCAAATTATTTAAGTACTCCATGTAATGCTAAGAAAAAACATGAGCCTTTAATTAGGGGATTGTAACTCTCACAGTCAAATGCAATTTAACCATTTATAGTGTATACTGGAGAGAAAATTCACTTTTTATTTGGAACAAAAGTTTGCTTAAATTAGAGCTGAAAAACAAAGATGTTACTGATGACTCTTTGATTCACCCGTAAGGACAGTTTAAGAGAGATGGGAGGGAGCTGACCCGAGGCCCTGGAAGCCACTGGCCCCACAGGAAGAACTAGGGTAGGCGTCAGAGGGCCCAAGGTCTGCATCCAGCTCTGCCCTCTGTGCTTTAGCTTTCACCTGAAAAATCTGAGAGAAAGAGATTGAGAGAGACAGACAAACAGACCCCTGGCCTGGCTGTGCTCACCTGTCCTTGACGCGCAGGATGAGCTGGTGGAAGCGGTCCACGTGCTCGAAGCTGGCCTTGTCTGTGACCGAGAAGACGATGAGGAAGCCGTCCCCTGTGCGCATGTACTGCTCCCGCATGGCACTGAACTCCTCCTGCCCGGCTGTGTCCAGAACTGGGATGGGATGGGGCCAGTCAGGGGCTGTCACCCCCACCCTGGAGCCCCCGCAGCCTACAGACCCCCACGCCGCTTCTGTCCCCTCTGTGGCTCAATCTGAACTGTCCCCACAAGAGCCACACATGCTCCCTGGGCTGTGCTGTGAGGGTCCTGGTGGGGCCTCAGACACCTCAGTAAGAGGCTCTAACTGACTCATTTGTAGACCCACTGATTCCAACCCACGGTCTCCCTGGGCCTTAATTCTCTGTCTACAGAAAAGCCTCATTAAGTCTGTGATCAACTCTGCTTCTAAGTCCCTCTGGCGAGTGCCCAGATCTGAGCTTGGGTCCCTGCTGCAGCCCTTCCAAACTGATTCTTTGGGGAGTTACCTGCCTCTGAGCCTCCTTTCCTCCCTTGTACATGGAGCAGTGCCTCTACCTTGCAGCCCCTAGGGAGGAGAGCTTGATTGTGGACATGCCTGGGGGAAGCTCTGAAGAGGCCATCGGGGTCAGGAAGGCTCCTCAGCCCCTGTGTGGACAGACACCAGGCAGGCAAAGGCGAAGGGGTGACCCCTTGAGAGCCAGGGTCACTCACCTCCTAGGTGGGGCTGTTACAGGGCAGTGGGCGGGAGCTGGGGCTGGAAGCAGCAGCCGGACGCTGGGGAGAACCATTTCAGCAAAGACTCTCCCCACCCCCAACCCATCCACCCCTCTCACTACCCTACCCTATGGGCTCCTGACGCCTGCTCTGCTAAGATAAAATCTCACCCCTGCCTGTGTCAGGGAAGTCACAGCCACAGCTGCGGGGGAGGGGTCTCACTTTAAAAGTGCAAGCCTGACCCCCTCAGGCCCTGCCAAAGCCCTACAGATGGCATGAAGTCTGAACCCCTCGGCGTCATGGCAAGCCCCTAGTCACCTGCTGGCCTCCCCCCATGCTCCTGGCTCACTCTCTTCTCCGACCAGACCCAGCCTGCCCTCTTCCTCGAGGCAGTGGAGCAGCTGGTGACAGATTTTGGAGCCAGGTTCCGGGCTGAGTCTGGCCCCTCATCCCCAGAGTGTGACCCCGCACAAGCTCACTTCTCTGCGCCTCTGTTTCCTAAAATGAGGATCTTCAGGGTTGTTTCTAGTTAATATACCAAGGCCCTTAGAGCTGTGCGTGGCACAAAGAAGTCCTTCATGAGGGTCTGCCGTGAGCCGGTTATCGCCACCTGGGGTGCTCTCCCCTACCTCTGGGCCTGGGACTTCTTTCCCCCGTTACCCCCCACCCCTGCTCCCCTTTCTTTGGCAGCTGACTGTGACCCACAGCACCACGCTGCCTGAGACCCCAGGGCTCTCTCACCCCAATACGGACTGTTCTTGGCATTGTTCTTGCTGCCCATTTAATTTGCCCTCAGCTGGGCAGGGATCTAGTCTGTGTGAGTCAACCATCTGTCTACTCGCAGCCTGGCACAAACAGTACCCAAATAGTAGTTGAATGAATAAACGAATGTGAAGTCTGTCCATTTTTCATCCATTTATTCATTCATTTAAGAAATATTTCAGGGCCTACTATGTGCTAGGCAGCATTCTAGGCACTACGGATACAGGCTGAATGAGGCAAAATCCTTGCTCCCGTGGGACTTACGATCTAGTGGGAAGACAGATGAATGAATGAATGGATAATTTCTGGTGGAGATGAGTACATACTATGAAGAGCAATATGGCCAGTCGGAGGTAACTGGCTGAAGTTGGTGTCATTTTGGATAGGGAAGAAGGGCATCTCTCAGGAGATGATATTTGAGCAGTGACTACATGATGACAGGAGAGAGCCCTGTGGCCGAGGGGAAGAGCATCCCAGGCAGAGGGGACACAGGGAGGGGAAGTGTGCAAGGGCCGGCCTGATGGCCTGGGGGAGTGGAGGGAAGGGTGGATGGCCTGAGGATGGAAAGGAGGTGAGGGCAAGTCTGGGGTGCTGCTACAGTGGGGTGAGGCTTACTTCATGCTACATAAGACAAGGGCCACTGGAGAGTCTGGGCGAAAGAGTCACATGATTTGTAGGACATCTGTACCCTGGTTGCTGGGAAAACACAGACCAAGAGTAGAAGCAGGGGCACTAGGTAGAAGGTTAGTGCAATACTCCAGGCAAGACAGGCTGGAGGGTTAGACCAAGGAGGGCGAGGGTGGATGCTGTTAGAAGCGACCTCATTCTAAGACAGAGCCAACAGGAGCGGCACTTTCTGGAGGAAACTGTGGGGATGGTGGGGGGGGGATCAGAGAGAACGCCATTGAAGACAATGACTGTTTTGGGCCTGAGCCAAATAAATGGTGGTGTCATATACTTAGGTGGGAAAGACTGAGTGAAAAACAGGGTTTGGGGGCTCAGTTCTTGACACAGGCTTCAGAACCTCTCAGACGCCTATGTGGGACTTCAAACAGGCATTTGAAGACTTAAGTCAGAAACTGAGAAGAGGGGCAGGAATGACAGACGTGGGAGTTGCCAGTGTATGGGTGATAAAGAGGGCCACAGGATGCTATCAGGACACCCAGGAATTTGCAGCTCTTCAAGCGGGCACCTTTACATAGTGGCCGAGAAAGTGATCTTGTCCCAGAGCCTGTCGTCACCCCTACGCATCCTCCTGAGTCACTCAGCATGTCAGAGGGGCAAGGCTGGGGCACACGAGGACCTGCGATACGCCCCAGACACACGGCTACTCTTGCCTTGTTCTCCTCACGTATGAAACGAGGGGCAGGATTCCTGGAACTTCAGGTCCTTCCAGCTCTGAAATAGTCCTAGAATTATTTGATCTGGATGTAAAATGGACAGGCTAAGAAAATGGGATCTACAGCTGAGGACCAGTGTGGAGACTAAGGCGGTTTCCCCAGTGTTTCCTAGGGAGGAGGGGAGGAGACTGCACCTTCGCCTGGAGAGAATGGAGCCTATTTTCTTAAATAAATCCCACTCAGAACTGCAATCAATAAAACAGATGAAATGGTGTGGATTTGGCCGAAGTGGGGATGAGAAGGCCTGTACCGAACAGGAGAAGATAGTACAGTAATATTGTAATTAATATACTCACAGATTCTGTGTGTGTATATTATCCAAAACAAAAACTAGAGACCAAAGATATTGAAAACTGTGATCATTCAGAATAAAAAAAAAACTCAGTAGGGAGCTGAATATCAACATGGACCATCTGGAGAGGAAAAATAGTCATTTCAAATATTTTAGGTCTTAGAAATTATATTACCCATGCTTTCTAAAAGAATTCCAGGAGGATGTACTCCAGAAAAGTGAAACATGGGTCCATAAAAGAGAAAGATGAGTATTATAAACAATGGTTTATATAAAGCAAACAGCAAAGCATAAGAGTCAAGTTTAAATAAATATTGTTACACAACGTGAAGAAAATGAATGACAATTTACAACTAAAATCTACGATGGTCCATATGTGAGTGAGGGTGGAGGCGGGAAAAGTGAGTTACTACTGAAGTTCTTGCCTCATTTGGGAAGAGGCTAAAGATAAAATTACATCCAGCTGCTGATAGAAAAATATAAGTATACACACACACACACACACACACACACACACATAGAATAACCACGAGAATAGAAATAAAACTCAAAACTTTCTAATCATTAGAGGAAAGAAAAACAAAGTAAATGAAACCAATTCAATGAAAGGCAAAAATAAACTCAACAAAAATAAGAAAGCTAAAACAGTATACATGAAGTAAGAGGCAGAAATAAATCTGTGACTGACAATAAATGCAAATGGGTGAAATTCACCTGTTCAAAGCAGGTACTTTATATCTATGAGCTCAGGTTTTTCTTGGGGGGGAGGTTTGTTTTTTTAGGTTCCACATGTGAGTGAGATCCATATAGTATTTGTCCTTCTCTGTCTGACTTGTTTTACTTAATGCTCTCAAGTTCCATCCATGTCGTTGCAAATGGCAAGATTTCGTTCTGTTTTTTATGGCTGAATATATATATATATATATATATATATATATATATATATATATATATATATATATATATATATATATATATGTATCTTTATACATTTTCTTTATCCATTCACCATTGATGGACACTTAGGTTGTTGCCATGTCTTGGCTATTATAAATAATGCTGCAGTGAACATGGGGGTATGTATATCTTTTCTAATTAGGGTTTTCCTTTTCTTTGGATAAATACCCAAAAGTGGGATTGTTGGGTCATATATTAGTTTTATTTTTAATTTCTTGAGGAACCTCCATACTGTTTTCCATAGTGGCCGCACCAATTTACATTCCCACCAACAGTGCACAACGGTTCCTTTTTCTCCACAACCTCACCATCACTTGTTATTGCTTGCCTTTATAACAGCCATTCTAACTGGTACGAGGTGGTATCTCATTGTAGTTTTGATTTGCATTTCCATGATGATTAGTGATGTTGAGCACCTTTTCCTGTACTTGTTTGCCATCAATACATCTTCTTTGGAAAAATGTCTATTCAGATCCTTTGTCCATTTTTTAATCAGGCTGTTTGGTTTTTCTCCTATTGAATTGTATGAGTCCTTTATATATTTTATAACTAGAAATTTGTATCTTTTAACCCCCTTCACCCATTTTACCCCCCACCCCCCCACACACACACCCTCTTAGTGCCGCCTCTGTCAAACTAGAAAGCTCCTGCACTGCAAAGGAAACCATCACTATCAGATATATGATTTGCAAGTATTTTCTCCCATTCAGTAGGTTGCCTTTTCATTTTGTTCATGGTTTCCTTTGCTGTGCAGAAGCTTTCTACAATAGTTTGATGTAGGCCCATGTGTTTATTTTAGCTTTGTTGCCTTTGCTTTTGGTGTCAAATCCAAAATAAATAAACCATGGGATATAATTTACAGCATGGTAACTACAGTAAATAATATTCTATTGTATATTTGATAGTTGCTAAGAATGTAGATCTTAAAAGTTCTTATCACAAAAAAATTTTTTTGTAAATATGTATGATGATGAATGTTAACTAGACTTATTGTAGTGATTATTTTGTAATATATACAAATACTGAATCATTACGTTGTATACCTGAAACTAATATAATGTTAAATGTTAATTATACCTCAGAAAAGGCAGACACTTAATCCAAAAAATCCATTTGACTAGTACTACAAAATGACACAGAAAGATAAAAAAATGAAAGAACGAAATAGAATATGCCAGCCACATACATTCACCAACAGAATTCAAGGCCAAAGCATTAGACAGGACACACTATGAAATTTATAATGGGAAAAGGTGTATCAAGAAGTGCCAAAGTCACAAATCACAACCATCTAAGAATGTTGCCTAAAAATCTATGGATAAAAAACTGGTTTTTAAAAACAGGAATTGACAAACCCCATAATCATTGTGGGAGAACTGAACAAGCTTCTCTTAGAGATAGACAGACAAATGGACAAGAGACTGAGAAAACAAACTTTACACTCAAAGAGGAAATAAGTATTTTTAAACACACATGAAATCATCACAAAAATTGGCCATATGTTAGGCCATACATAAAATTTTCAACAAGTTCCAGAAAGCAGAAATCATATGAACCATCTTTTACCTATACCGCAACAAGATCAGAAATTAACAGAAACATAAGTATAAAAGAATCTATCCACTTGAAAATTTAAAAGCCTATACTGCTCTATAACTCTCCAGTTTAAGAGAAAAGCAAACCAAAAATTACAATTTAGAATCAAACAACAAGAAGCAGTAATAAAACCTCTGATTTAAGGCCAAAGTGATACTCAGACGGAAATTATAGCTTTAAATGCACTTCAGAAAACAAGGAACATTGAAAATTAAGTAAGCATTTAAATCAAGGGGCTAGAAAAGGAAAAATAAAATAAAACCAAATAAAGAAGAAATCATCACTAAAAGTAGAAATTAAGAAAATGGGAGGAAGGAAAAAGTATTGCTATCTAAAAATAAAAAGCTGATTCTTTGAAAGGACCAATTAAAAAAATAAACCCACAAACTTTTAGCAATTCATATATATATATATACATATATATATATATATAAAGACAAATACGCATTTTCAATGAGAAATGGCCTATGACTATGGATAGAGATATATATTTTATTATGAGAAAACTATATACAGTTTTATAGCAACAAAGTTTCAGTTCTTGATGAAAGGGGTGATTTAAGAAAATATAAATGAGCAAAACTGGTTCAAGAAAATATATAAAACCTGAATAGGCCAAAAATTATTGATGAAATTGAAGCGACAAAACCTACCCTATGAATGGCACAAAGCTATTCTTGTAATCTTACAACTATTCCAGAGCACAGAAAATAGAGGAATTTTCCAGCTCATTGTAAGAGCCCAGCATAATCCTAAAAACAAACAGGACAGGGATAGCATATGGGTGTGTGGTGACTGCAAGGCCTGTACCATTTTGGGGGGCAGAAGCAACCTGCGCGTGGGGCGCTAAGAGGTGTACTCAGTTACCCATTTGCCAGTTATTTTCTAAATACCTGCTCTATGCCAACCACTCTGCTTGGTACATCGCATGGTCAAAGACTAAGATGCATCTCACTATCAAGGCACTTACAGGCCAATTGAACTGATATTTAAGAGAAAAAAATAATAATGTGGAACAGAAAGTGATGCATACTATGGCAGATCTAGGGAAAGCGGGGGATAATGGAAGGTTTCAGCAAAGACGGGACATTTAATCCTTCGCTTGAAGAAAGAATAGAATTTGACGTAAAGATGGAGCCTGGGGAAAGGTCTTCCAGGCAGAGGAACAGCATGAGCCAGCGCCTGGAAGGGCAGTAAGGGCAGTAAGGAGGCTGGGGTGCCTGGGTCAAAGGTCTGGGACAGGGAGAAAGAGGAAACAGGAAGACCAGAGGCTGGGGACCCTGGGTCCTAAACTCTGGGCACTGGGGAGCTACTGAAGGCTCAGAGAGGGGACAGATATAGTCAGAGCGGGGCGAGTTTGGCAGCCAGAGGGAGGGCCCTGGAGGCAGGGAGGCCTGTGAGGAGGTGCAGGAGGGACCTGGCAGAGGCAGCCAGGACATGCGCGCCAGCGAGCATGTGAGATGAGAGCATGAACCGGGACACCGAGGACAGAGAACAAGGAACAGTGTGGGAACCACGGAGAGGGGCAAGTGAAGGGCGACTTGGAAACTGCAAACTTTGGGCTCTAGGAAGGCAGGTACAGCCAGGGAGGAGGAGGGGGGGGGCCGAGCTGGGCCAAGTCCGGTGTGGGGTCCCAACCCTTGCCCAGCCCGCCCCTCCACGCACATACACCTGGAAATGCCTGGTTATAGGCTCCTTGTCAGCAGCTCTGCCTCCAAGACTTCCTGGGGGAAGCTGAGGACAACGGGCAGCTACGCTTTTAAGAAACTATGATTCTGCCTGTGGTCCCCCTGCCTGATGTCATGAAGGTAGGCAAACCCCAGAGACAGAAAATATTAGTCGCTGTGGGAGAAGAGGTATTCTGTGTGTGTGTGCGCGTGAGAGAGAGAGAGAGAGAGAGAGAGAGAGAGAGAGAGAGAGAGAGAGAGAGGAGGCAAAGTGTAACATTATGGAGACAGAGGTTAGTGCCCTGCGCCTGACTGACCTGCCCAGTCCTCCCCGCCGAAGGTGGGGGGCCAGCAGTGTTGCTGAGGAGGATTTAGTGTAAATCCTGGGGCTGCTCTTGGGTCTTGGGCATTTCAAAAGCTAAGCCCCACATGCTGGTGTGACGGGGGGCCCCAGGCAGGCCGGCAGTCAGCGTGGAGGGAACACCAGCCTGGGTCCCTACTGAGTCCTCCTCCTTTCCCCCTCCGCGTTCTCTTTCTTCTCGCATTCTCTGTCCTTCTTGCTCTCCCTCCCTTTCCTCCTCCCCACCTCTCCTTCTCCAGGGCTTCCAGCGGGAAGCAAAGCCTGGCGTGGGGTCTGGGGACTCTGACATTGGCCTGCAGCCCAGTATACAGCGCAAGCTCTTGAACTAACAGTAGTCCTGCCCAGTGTTCCTCCTGGCAGCACGCACGGTGCCAGGGGCCCTCTACACTCGCCCTCGCAGTGCTCCTCACGGCGGTGGAAAGAAGGTATTACTGGACCCGAGTACAGGTGAGAAAACTGGGGCCCAGGGAGTTAAAGTGATCTGCTCAAGGCTACATGTTGTGAAGGAGGGCACTCCAGTGTCCCCAAGGCCCAAGTGTTCCAAGCCAGTCCAGTCTTTTCTCTTCAGCCAGAGGGTGTGGGTATGGCCACCCAGAACCAGCCAGGCCTTTGCCCGAGCCATGACCTCCAACAAGAGTGCCCTCCAGCTGGCTACAGTCCGCCTCCTCTCCTGAGGGCCGGGCCTTTGACTCAGTCTCTGAACCCTTCCTATTGTGTGCTCCATCGGATCTTCCAAGTCCGTGCTTCCAGGCCTGGCTCAGCTCCCCACCATGGGTGGAGCCCCAAAGGGGCCCAGCTTTCCTTTCTCTGGGTGCCCCAATGGCTTCAGCACCCAATGAGAGCTCAAAAGGTACCTGTAGGATGACTGGACAAATTACATGAATGCTATACCAAATGCGGTTATTGTGTTCAAACAGCCCACACCAGCTGGAAGGGCAATCACTAAAAACTGACTCTTCAACTTCTGTAACACACTCTGCAGGTTGAAGTAAGGGTTCTGGATAAAAGCAATGGAGATGATAGTTGCTAAAGACAACATGCCTCCAAGGACCATGCCTGCTGCTGTCTACGTCTCTATCCCACAGACCCACGTGGGGGGCGGGGGGTTGTGTCCATGTAACAGGGAACTCAGGTGGGGACGCCTGTGTCCCTCCCAGGACAAGACTTCAATAAAGTGATGCTGCCTCCTCATGGAGCACCGGTAGTGATGAGGGCTCCTTCCGCTGTAACTTGCGCTCCCCTTTCTGGATAAGGGTGTGTACGGAGTAGGCTGGGTGCCAGGCAGAAGGGCTGGCTGCACCAACCATGCACTGTTCCCAGAAAAAAGGCTGCTTTCTTCTTCTCCAGAGTGCGGGCAGGCCGTGGAAAGCCAGGCCACTCGGGACTGCCGAAGGGGTGGAAGCCAAAATCCTGTGGCAGGTGGGGCTGCCTCCCTGGTGATGAGGAAAGATTCCCTCTGGCAGTGGCCCCAACCTGCCAACACCTGACTTCAAACGACATCAGGAGAGAAGTGCTGGACACCTGCCCCAAGGGACACAGCTAGGGGAGCAGGTGAGAGGGTCTTGGGATATGTTTTCACAAGATCCATTCTCATGAGGTCCATGAATCCTGAGTTGATGCAGAAATTACATGTGTGGGCGCACATTCCTTCAGGGAGATGGGCCATGGCTTTGTGGGATTCTTCGAGGAGCCTGGGATGCCCTGCTCCGTGTCATGCTCGTGGTGGGAAGAGAAGAAACAGGGGAAAGGGCAGCAGAGGGTCTCAGCCGTGTCACTAAGAGTTCAGGAGCTTGTAGGGACAGACGGGAACTTGGGGTGGGGTGCCTGGCCATGGAGAGGAACAGGGAGGCAAGGCGTTGACCGACAGCCCCACTTCCACCTCACAACTACTCTGGGAGGCCAGTATTTTACAGGTGAGGAAGCTGAGGCAGTAACCAGGTTAGTGACCTACCTGCTCAGGTTAATTCCGCTAATGAGTACATGAAGGCACGGTTTGAAGCCAAGCCTGTTTGGGTCGGAGCCTTGCTGAGCTCCTGGCATGAGCCTGTTTTTGAATGGGGAGCCAGCAGCAGCGCCCTAAGGCCTGTGAAGAGGAGCAGGTCTAAACGGAGGGGTGAGGACAGAGGCCTGAAGTTTGCAGAGATGGAAGACAAAGACCTGAGGCTATGCTTCCTACACCTGCACCCACCTGGTTACCCTCCACCTACTCCAAACCTACCCCGGGCAGTTACATGTGGCTGCGGGGAGAGAACGCTCAGCTGGGCTCCCTTTTGAGTCCTGGGCACCCACATACAGGGCCTTGAGAGCACCCAACAATTCTAAGCACATCCCTCTCCCCCTCTGCCCACTGCCCCCTCTCTCCATCCCCCCCCCACTCCCAGCTGAGGTCTGAAACAGAGAAAATTAGGAACCAAATGCCACATGCTTCCACCCCAAACCACCCACCTCGGGGACATTGGGAGCCTCCCACATACACTGCTCGTGAGAAGGTGAAATGGTGCAGCCACTTTAGAAAACAGTTTGTTAGTTGCTCAAAATGTTAAACTTAGACTTACCCTATGACCCAGCAATTTCACTCCTAGGGATAGACCCGAGATGAAAACACATGTCCACACAAAAACTTGCACATGAATGTTCAGAGCAGCAGTAGTCATAACAGCCAAAAAGTGGAAACAACCCAAATGTCCATCAACTGATGGAAGGATGAAATGTGGCGTACAATACACTAGACTATTATTCACACATAGAAAGGAATGAAATTCTGATACATGCTATAATATGGTTGAACCTTTAAAACTGTACGCTAAGTGAAAGAAGCTAGTCACAAAAGGCCACATACCAAATTATTCTGTTTATATGAAATATCCAGAATAGGCAAATCCTTAAAGACAGGAAGCAGGTGAGTGGTTTCGGGGACTGGGGAGAATGACTGCTAATGGGTATGAATTTTTGTCCGGGGAGGTGATGAAAATGCTGAGGAACTAGGTAGAGGTGACTCCAATGACTGCTGATTTGTGAAGCAATCAGCAATTCACGATTGCACAATTTTGTGTATACACTAAAATCCAGTGAATTATACATTTTAAAAGGGGAAACTTTACACGTGAATTATATCTCAATCTAAAACTTGTTTGGGAAAAGAAACCCCATCTCCCTTTCTCTGAAACACATGCTCTGCTTGCCCTCACTACAGGGCCTGACCTGGTCCCGCTCCATCCAAGACCATCCCCTCCTGCTGGGCACTAGATGCTGTCCCCTGTCACCTATTGTTGTCCCCTCCCTCTCCTGCATATCATCCATTTCTCTCTCTATTGGTTCACTTCCATCAGTATGTAAACATGCTGTCATTTCTCTCACCTTAAAAAATCAAACAAAAATAAAATAGATCCAAAAAATAAAAATAAAAACAACCCCCCTCGACCTCACATCTCCTTCCATTTGCTGTCCATTTCTCTATCCCTCCCTACAGCCACATGCTTTGACTTGTCTAGTCTCACTGCCTGCTCCTCTTCCCCGCCAATCCCTCCTGAACCCACTACAATCAGACTTTCATTCCCCACTACTCTGTCAAAATTGCTCTTGTCAAGTCGCCAATGACCTCCATGTCCCTACATGCAGTGGGCACTTCTCAGTCCTCACCCCACCGGACCACAGGCTGGCACTGGGTGCATTGATGGTTCCCTCCTTTCTGAAGAGCCTTCCTCACTTGGTCTTGGGATGTCACTCTCTCACTCCTTCCCTTCTGCAGTGACTGGTCCTTCTCTGTCCCCTAATCACCCTCGAAACATTGGTGAGTCCTCACGCTCCGTCCTGGGACCCCTTCTCTAACGACATTCGCTTCCTTGGTGATCTCTCATCTCCTGGCTATACATGTCAACTCCAAAATTTCTATCTCCAGCCTATACATCTCCCCTTGCTCCTGACTCAGACATCTAGCTGCTGGTTTGACTTCTATTTCTAAGTGTGAAAGGCATCTTGGATTTAGCATGTCCAAAATTAGACTCTTGATTTCCCCCCAAAACTCGCTTCCCAGCAGGCTTGCTAATCTTGATAAACACGGCTCTGTGGTACTAGCTATACAGGCCAAAGGCTCTTCCCTCCCTCCCTCCACCATCCGTACACTCCATCCATAACTCCTGTTGTTTCTTCCTGCAAAATACATCCAGAATCCAACTCCTTCTCACTGCTTCCTTCACCAGTGCCCTAATTTACCATCAGGAGACTCTTAACTGCTCTCCCTGATTCTACCCTGGCTTCCCTACAGTCTATTCTCCACACCATTGCCAGAGTGGGACTTTCAAACATCAGTCAGACCATGTCCCTCCTCTGCTCAAAACCTTCCAATGGCTTCTGATTTCCCTACAAGACCCTAGGAGATCAGTGCCCTCCAGCTATCTCTCTGAACTGTATTAGCCTCCCTCACTTGCTCTGCACCCTGGCCTCCTAGCTAGTCCCCAAACAGGTCAGACACAGCCCTGCCTCAGGGCCTTTGCACTGATACCCTCTCTGTCTAAGATTCTCTGCCCCTAGGTATATATACAACTTTCTCCTTCAGGTCTCTGCTCCAACATCACCTTATCAGGAAGGCCTTCCCTGGCCAGCCTACATAAGATAGCAACCCCTCCTCACCATCTATTTCCCCTACCTTGCTTATTCTCCTTCACAGCATTTATCACCACCTGACACATTGCATATTTGTTTATGCTCTGTCTCCCCCATTCTAACATAAGCTTCATGAAGCAGAAACTTTACTTTGCCAACTGGGGCATCCTCCGAGGCCCAAAGAGAGCCAGGCACATAGCAGGTACCCGGAAGTATTTGTTGAATGAATTAGTGAACTCACCCACAGGACTCGAGCCAATCCATACATCACTGGAGGTGATAGCTATACAGCGGAATGGAGAGAAGTGGTAGCTCCAAGTCAGGCACTCAAGCCTCATTCCTGAACCTCCCCAGATGCAGGCAGATGGATTGGTGGCCCCTCATCTGCACATGTGATGGGGCCTATTCTTGAAAGTACCAAGCACTCTCATAAATAGTAACGTAAGCCATATTAGAACAGCATCTGCTGAGGCTTACTATGTGCCAAGCTCCTCACAAGGTGCCTCATTCCCTCCCTCCCTCAATAAACAAGAACCAAGCACCTAATGGGTGCCAGCTCCAGGCTGACATCAGAGATACACTGGTGGGCAAAGGCTTTCTCCTCAAGGAGCTTACCATTTAATGTTTCCTTTAGTCTTTGCAACAGCTGTGAGGGTATATCCCGCCGATGAGGGCGCGTGGTCTTGCTCTAGGTGCTGTCTGCGCCCAGCGGAAAGAGCAGCCTCTAGGCACTGAGACCTGGGGCATGGTGACAGCAGGCTGACAAAGGCTACATTGGGGCCTGGAGATGATGGCATCACCCAACACAAGGACAGACAAGTGAGATCTCAAACCTGTCGGGCTGCTGCACTCAGCCCAAACTGCTCACGTGACTTCTAATAGCCATGACCATGATGTTCTGGAATCAGAGCAAAACCCCAAGTTAGCCGCAGGAGCATAGGACCTGAGTGTCAGCAAAGTGAGGAAGAGGAAAACCACTTGGGGTTTGGGATGCTGACGAGCTTGGAATGACCTCAGGCTGTGCTGTGACTTTGAAGGGGGAGGGTGCTTCCTGCACCTTCACCACTCAGCCTTGTTGAGCTGACTCTAGGTCACTGGCTGATGGTGGGTCCCTCAGCTCCCAGGCTGTCTAGTGGGGCTGAGGTGAGCGCAGAGCAAGATTAAGATCCTTGGCTTTGGGGTCAGAGGAAATGGGGCTCTAATCAGCTGTGTGACCTTGGACTGGTTACTTCCCCTCTCTGAGTCTTAGTTCCCGCACCTGCATGGGCCTGACCAATCAGAGGGCTGCTGGACAGGCGCTGGAGCCCTCAGGGAACGTAGGGCAGTAGTGGCGGCAGCAATTTCCTACTGGGTATGGAAGTAGCTCACCATTTTATCAACTAACACAGTAGTATTAGGGCATATTGGCTGAAGAGCAGCTGTGCTCACCTTTAAAGTGGAGACACTCATTTCAATTTAGCAGAGTGTTACAAGCATGGAATAAAACAATCCTTATAAAGCCCTTAGCCCTGGGTCAGGCCTTCAAAAACGGTCTGGTCAGCAGTAACTGCTAATACTGCTGTGAGCACAGAAGAAGCAACAGTGAAAGAGGGCTGGGGAGGCAGCTCTGGCTTCAGTGTAGAGAAGGGCTTCCTACCAGCACTGCCCCGGGCACCTTGGACGTCGGTGAGCTCCATGTTCCTGAGAGCATTCAAGCAGTGATGGCTGATGGGACCAGGATAAAGGGTCAAGCAGGGGCCTACAGGGCTGGATTTCATAATCTCAGGCCAGCAGCCATGTTCCCTTATAAAGGAAAAGAGGAAAATTCCTCCCACATCACTGCCGGCAGGAAAAGGGGAGGACGGGTGGAAGGACGGGCCAGCTCTGCCTGTACCCCGCTCTTAGTGGGGGCCATGGAGCAGTGTCTCCTCTGAAGTTGACCTAAGGGCTGCTGAGCATAGAAGTCCACC